TTAATAAATCAAATGTCATATTACAGTATAATTTTAATGCTTTAACAATAGTGGACTGAATATTCATATCGTTTCACTAATAATCCTATTTAATCACTATTCAGTCCTAATATTAATTGATTTTTGTATTTAAAATGTTATTTTAATTGAATTGAAAATAAAATAATGGTTACATTTTTGTGAATTACAAAATATTTCAATAATTATATCCATTAAAACCTTAATTACTTATATTTTCATGTGTTATATATCAATTGGTATTAAAAAAGCAATTATATGTCAGCAAATAAGCACTCGGGCAAATAAGATCAATTAATTCAGTTATTTGTGACAAACCTATCATTAATATTGAAGTATTGGGTAATGACTGAAAAGTTGTCACATGTATTGCTTTCAATTGTTTGCCATATATTTTCACAAATGATTGAAAACTATCGTTAATTTTGGGATTATATGTGAAACAAAGTTTACGCAAATTATGACACAATATCTCATTTGCATTACCACTCAATGCCGACAATTGACCACAAATTGTAATTTGTGTTAATTTTGGACAACACTTGAGTATTGTTTCAACGGATTTATTATCAATGAAATCTTGTATTTGAATTGATTTCAATTGTTTCCCAAACTTTGTTAAAAAGCTCTCAATTAAAGCATTATAATTATGCCATATATGGCTATAAGTGGACAATAAATGCCATTTATGACAGCTTTTCATAATTGACAAAAAAAACAGGCTTCTGTATTTTTGTTTTGACAATTAAACCTAAGTAAAAATTATATTGCTAATTTCATTACCTCAACCTCATTAAATTAATTATAAAACATGATATACAGTACATGTATGTTTTTAAAAATCATTATATTATATAAAATAATTTTTAGTAATTTTTAATCGATATCGATATCCATAACATCACTTTTAATATTAATAATATTAACAAAGATCCTTTGTTTCTTATATGTAACTCACAAAAGTTGTCATGGTACATTATGTTTTCAAACTGTAAAATATTATTTTAATAAAAAATTTTCGAACATTACATGTATTAATAGCATACTAATATTCTACAAAAATATGAATAGAATAATTAAATGTATTGTAAATGACTTACAATTAAATAATTATAAATTATATAATATAACTTATATTTAAATATAAAATAATAATAAGACATTGCGGCCATTGTATGGTGCGTATCGTACCGTATCATAAGTACCACGTATCGTATCGACCTGATATAAGTGACATTATACTTACTGTATATGTTTCACAATAAATATTTCTGATATTTCTGTGTTGAAAGTAAAATTATAAAATTTTCCCTAAATTAAATAATACAAATTTTAAAGAAAGTGTGAACTATATCTAAAACTATAATTTGTTATAAATATTAATTAATTATATAAAATAATATTTAAAACTAATTTTACAATGAATTGTAATAATAGCATAAATATTATATTTAGAGAATTATATAATACAATTCTAATTATTTATTTTATTATATATTATAATTATATTAAAATTAATATTAAAATAATTAAACCTATAATACAATATTTAGTTCATTTTATTCATCTGATTAAAACAAATTACAATAGTTTTGAATCAATCATTAAATTGAAATCAAAAGTGTTATGTTTTTGTATGCTATCCTATGGGGCCATAGAGTTAACAACAGATTACTTCAGTTATGACTAGTGTTCACAGTTATTTGTTAAAACAAATAAAACGAAATAAAACACACGAAATTTAAAAATAATACAATTTCGTTTTATTAATAAAACCAAATAAAAACAAATTTTAGTCGTAATTAATGTAAAATATTGAGTTCATATATCGATTCGAGTGTTTGTCTGAATATTGTATTCGTCTAACGTTTGGACATTTGTTTGCAATAAATTGGATGTATTTTTGACAAAACTCGTCATCCGATTCATTCATTTCTTTGCTTTTAATGCCATCCATCAGTTTGTCTTCGATATGAATCTCACAAATAGATTGATAAATACATCTCTGAAACTGCTTTGAGACGCATTGGTGTCGACATCTCATCTCAAATGCATGTTTCGGGTCATCGAAGGAATGATAGGACAGCAAGAGTTGCATCAAATCATCGCCGAAACGATCAAAAGAGTTCTTTGGATACTATTTAATAAAAATATTTTATCAAAATTCAATGGTTATAACCCTATATCTTATTGATTACCTGTTTATTATTCTTCTGGAACAGACTCTTAAGACAATCACACAATCGTGTCATCACTTTGTGTTATAAATTACTAATACTGTTTGAATAATTTTAAATAAATCTTATGCTATCATAAGTATTGTTAAAACGTAAAACATTTTTACACTGTATATAATATAAGCTTATATTTTATTCAGATTTTAAATCAATCATTTTTAAAGTATATTTTTGTGAGTTTATTACTGTATAAATCGTTAACAGCCAGAAACATAACTAATTAGACATGATTTTATGTTTGATATAATTTACTTACTATTTATATGGAGAATTGTACCTTGATTATTATAAATAAATATTTAAATGTAAAATCAATTTAAACAAATTATTTGTTTTAAAATATTGTCATTAGTTAATTGCTGTAAAAATTCTGATATAATGAAATTAATGTAAATAACTAAACAGTTATAGTTTTGCTAAATAAACTTAATAATAACTTAAGTAATTACTATATTAAGATAAAAATATTGAAATAAAATAATAAAAGTGATTTTTATGTGCAGTAAAATAAAATTACAAAAACATTTTAATTAGATTGAAAATTTTTGAAAAGATTATCACACATTAAAACAAATTCATAAATAAAATCGCAATTATAAAAATCCTTTTCTATGTTTGTGTCGTTCAGTAGAATTTGTCTTAATTTCGGGCATCTTTTAAAAACTTTCCATAAATTATATTTAGTAACGAAACAGTTGTGAGAATCGATGCAAACATCTCGCAGTGATGACAGATTTGAGATACACGACAAGGATTCATTGTCGGCACACAATAAAGTATTGACGTATAGTATTTGTAGTTTCGGTTGTGTGAACACAATCTCTTCCAACAACTCTTTAGGAAACTTATGAAACCCAAGACATAGGCGTCTGAGTCGTGGCCAACGATTTAACGGCTCTAATTGTGTCCAAACGATTGCATTGTCATTGTCTTCGATCTCAAGTTCGAGTTCCAAACTTTTTAAACGCGGCATAAATTGGATTGAATTCATAATCTCTATATTGAATGCCATTTCTTGCGATTTAACCAAAATTGTTAACTCTTTAAGTTTTGTACACTTTATGCCAATTCTCTTCAGATTATCGTATAGTGAATATTGAAGAACAAATGAATTTAATTGGTTTTTAAATATTAGATGTAATTTTTGCAATTCTTCTAATTGTGATAATTGTGTCAAGAATTTTATAAACTTTTCCTTTGAGTCCAAAGATATATTAAAGATGAAGACATTAACTTCTTGAAGACGAGTTTTATAGTATGCGATGAATTGCACACAACTTTCTGTATTGAAGTCTTCAGTGAAAGAAATATACATTTTCTTTAAGTAATTGAATGACAACAAGTGATTGTCTTCTGTGGCAAACATTACATCCAATTTATAAATTGAAAGAGAAAATAATTTGGGAAAATGTTGTTCGTATGGGAACTGATATGTAGTGTAGATTGAAATATCGGTAACCATTGAACCAAATGGTGACAAAATGTCATAACATTGAGGATTATTGCTGAAGAAATTGCACTCAAAGTGAATACTTTTCAATTGTGAGAATTGATGTATTGATTGCAATATTGGGTTTGCATATCGATTGGACTCAATCCCTAAATACTCTATACCACGGATGATCACAGACATGTTTTCATTAGCCGTAATTGTTGTCCAATCATTGTATCTTATATCTGAATAGTATTAGTGAATACAAGGTCGTTCATAAATGATAAGACAGATTTGCCCCTATTTTTGCCCCTGAGCTCATCTATGCTCTATACTATGAATATTTAAGCATTTGTTTGCAATAAATTGAACAACTCTTTGACACAACACTTCGTCCGGTAGATCTACTTCTTTGGCCTTCATTCTATCCATCAGTTGATCTGTGATATGAATCTCACAAATGGTTTGATAAATACATCTCTGAAATTGTTTTGAGACGCATTGGTGTCGACATCTCATCTGAATTGTGTCCATCTCTTCATTGAAGGAATGATAGGACAACAAGAGTTGTGCCAAATCATCGCCGAAACGATCGAATGAGTTCTTTGGATACTTTTGATTTTTAATTAACAGACAATTTATAAAATAACTGTTATAAACATCTATCTTATTGATTACCTCTCTATCATTCTTCTGGAACAGACTCTTCAGACAATCCCACAATCGTGTCATTACTTTGTGTTCAGAACTACTAATTATTACCGAATATTAATCATTGATTACTAACTTTGATATGGATTTAATGCAAACTAATATACGGTTTAAACAAATTTTAAATTTATTTTATGTTAAGTATTGTTAAACGCGAATATTTAATTAATACGATTGTCTAATATTATCTCAAGTATTAGTTATTTACAATTATTATTAATTTGATTAGGTAATGTTTTGTCTTTAATATAATATTTAATATAATACAAACGACAAATTATTTGTTATAAAATATTGTCATAAGTTAATTGCTGTACAAATTTCGATTAAATGAAATTAATGTAAATAATTAAACAGTTATAACTTTACTAAATAAGCTTAAAAACTTAATTAATTATTATATTAAAATAAAAATATTGAAATAAAATAATAAATAGTAATTTTTATGTGCATTAAAATAAAATTACTAAACAATTTTAATTAGATTCTAAACTTTTTAAAAGATTATCACACATTAAAACAAATATAATAAATGACATTTTTAATGATATTTATAGAATAACATCACAATTAATGTATTTCAAATTAATTAATACAAATACATGTACAGGTATTAGATATTTTAAGTTTATATAAAAATTCTTGAATTATGAATATGTTATATAAATAGTGGTCTATAACTTAAATCAAATCATTTTTTAAATTAATAACACTATAATATATAAGCTAGCATTCTTAAATACTAACTATTTATAAATTATTAAATGTATAAATAAATTGTTTGAATGATCATAATATGTACTAACTTGTTGTACATTAATTAAACGTTTAATTATGTAACAAATAAACACAATAACTAATTTATGCACATTAAATACGATATTGATATGTAAAATATCTAACTACTGTACTTACAATGACAATGACATTGAAAACTTTTAATTGTATATTTTGTTTTATAAAATTACTTAATTATAATTATTACATATTAATGTTAATATAAATTCAGATTTTTTTATTCCCGACTAATCTCATCTCTCATAATGTTTTTATGTAAAACAAACAATGTTAGTGCACCATGGTCATTAGTTGGCACATTCACGTACGATTTGCTCATTAATTAAGTACTACTGCAACCATTGGTATCTTTTATTAATTTTGTCATAATTACTGCTCTAATAATTGTATGTTTAAATATATTATAAATTACATTTATGTGGATTTGATGATAATTTGTAATACTATTTTGAAAATAAACATTTGATGTAAATTGTTATTATATTAAAACATTTTACATTACAATTAAACTAATGCTAACAAATCAGTAATATTAGAAATAAACATATTATAAGAATATCTTAATAACTGATTTAGATTTTTGTTCACAACTGGTGTACAAAAATAGTTTAATCTTTATTATTTATTAATATTTAAATATACGGCATATAATGTATAATTTTGATTCAAATGAGTTATTACCTGAAGATCATGTGATAAAATCAGCTGATTTTCACTTATTTAGAATTGGCTTATGCTTTACCACCGATGATAACACATGGTATAAATGTCGCAAATTCATCCACAATCCATGGCTTATATTCATTGTCCTATTCATAGCTGTTATCAAACACTCAATTATATTATTACTAAATAATGAGAATAAATACCTATTCGTTGTTTTAGGAGATTATGGCCATTATATCGGACTCCGAGTGCATCTAAACATTGCAGTTATTTTATTCTTCATTCTATCAATGATTTCTCAATTGATTTATTACTATAACTACAGGAATGGTATAAAACCCACATTTCTCGGTGTGTTTCAAATGATGTCGGGTTTGGTTTCACCCAAATCTGTTGGTCTCACGAATCAGTCGGAAGTGAATCGACTGCTCAGACGAAGCAAAAGGTTATTGAAATTCATTAAATTGAATAATGAGATCACAATTCCTATCGTTTACTTCACGATATGTTTTTCATCATATCTTCTCAACTGTACTCTAAAACAGATACTAATCTATGGTTTTGTAAACTCTATGTTATATTCGCTTTACTCGTATTATTCATTAAATTTTCTTATCTATCAATTTGTATATTTCTATTTGATTTGCTATTATATTAAGCTTAAAATTGTATCGTTAAATAACCACGTGTTTGAATCTATTGAATCACACAATTATTCCTATATTTCCCAAACATTGAAAAGTATTAACACGTTATACACAGAAATACAAGAATACAACACAACTTATTGGTCCAAATATTTGCTCGCATTTTGGATATTGTTTGGTTCGGTCACTGTTTTGATACTATCGATGGTTTTGTTCACTAAAATGAATCTCATTTTCTATGTTATATCTGTTTATACTTTTATAATATTTCTATCGATATTTCTATTCATTATATTCACCGCTTCTTCGGTTAATTATGAGGCAAACAAAACATACAAATCATTGAATCGGTTAATGATATCCTATTTCTACGCCCGAAGACAACGTTATAAGAGAGACAGCGATAACAAATCGTTTTCAATTAAATTAAAGGTATTAAATGTGAGTGTTTTATGTGATAATTGTCTATAAATATTGTTTTCAATTGTAGTTAATGGCAATGATTGAGAGGACAGCCGAGAAGACAGTGGGCTTCACGTGTTGGCAGTTATTTACTGTTAATTATTTTCGCTGCTATGAAGTAAGCGATGTTTCGTATATTTAATGCTAAATTTTATAATTGATTACAATTAAGATTAATTACATTACATCTTATCATGTTTAAAATTATAGGTTATATCAATGCTTTGTGTTTTAATGATTAAAATTATGGAAATGACGGGACAATCATCAAAGAAATAAGAATTATTTTGTCATTATTGTAATAATTAATTACTAATAAATATAACATCGATTTCACTATAAATTGTATAATTATATCTTATTTAAACGTTTTTAATATAACAATTTAAGCTCGACAATTAATTATAATAAGCTAGGTCTTTCTGATTGATTTTAGTCATTAAGTAATTAGTAATGAGTAAATGATTTACTAATCTATAAGCCTGTTTAATTTTGTTTCTCTGTGTTAATAAACTTGAAATGTAATTTACTTTAAATAAATATTATTTGTTTTTCATTTAAGAAGATATAAAATACATGTAAATGTATTTATTATTCTTAAAACAATTAGCATTTAATGATATATTTTATGAGCACTTTAGTGGTGTAATAATGGAATATTTACATAGTTTTTCAACACAATTTGTGTTATAATTTTGTTGTCTCCATAGTAATGCTCGTTATAATGATCTTGAATATAATTTAATTGTATCGTAACTAAATTTAAACTGTATTTTACTTTTGAGGTCTTAGTTGTGGGCAAACAGTCGTATAGCAAACTTTGTATTTTGAAAGTAAGAATAAGTTAGTGTGAAATGAATAGCGATTCAATGGGAACTCAAAACCAAAGTAAGGCTCAGAATAAAGCCAATGCCATCCATACAAAGCTCAAGGTATTTATGGACAATATTTTAATTGTATTTCAATATGTAATTTGTAATTAACTTACAGCTAATGGTAATGATTGAGAGAATGGCTGAGAAAAGAGTGGGTTTTTCCTGTTGGAAGTTATTTACCATCAATTACTTCAGATGCTATGAAGTGAGAGACTTGAGTGATATATTAAATTATAAACAATTAATTGTAAATTAATACAAATAATGATATTTGCAGATCATTTCTCTGCTGTCGGTATTGTTTCTGAAGATCATTGAATTGTCCAGAAATAAGGGATGAGTTAACTCTCGTATCAAATGTTGTATTTATGCTATAATTACTGGCATTTGTTTTGAAAGTATAACTAATTTATGTGTAATTCTGTTATTAAAAAATGTGTTTTTTATTATATTTAGATAATAATTTTTTAGTTTTATTAATTAAAAATTGTTTATTTGTTAGCCATTGACAATAATAACATAATTACCGTAATATCCCATAGACAACGCGCACCCCGTGTATAACGCGCATCTAAAAGACTGCTAACATTTTAAAATAAAAGTGCTACATATACATGTGTTTTTACAAAACGATTAATTTTGTTACGTTTTTACTGGTTTTGCGATTAATTAATAGATAGATATATATTTAAAATAATTAATTTTATTGTTAATTGGTTAAAATTTGGGTGCTCATTTTAAGAATTTTCCAAAAATTTAACTTTTTTCATTAGATAACGCGCGCGTTGTCTATGGGATAATACGGTAATTATATTTTTGTTAATGAATTTAGTTTTCTCATGAAATAAATTGTGTTTAGTTTTAATAGATTATAGAAAATGAATGTAATAACCTATATATGGTGTTATAAATTTAGTTTTAGATCAATAATATTTTTAAAAATGTTTTGTCTTTTATATTTATGTGACTACTATTTAATAAAACTTATTTTATTGCATTTATATATTATTATTGAAGTTATTTTATGATATTATGGTATTTTGTTACCCAAAACTAATAATAGACTATTTATTGTAAAAACCATATTTGTTACATACTGTATAACCACATTGTATAATGTATTATTTATATAATAAAATAATTTAATTGATTATAAGTTATAATAATTTTATAACATTTAAATTGTAATAATAATAATAAAAATTCAAAACATTTTATTGAAAAATAATTGATTTAAAATCTAAATTAATTATAAATAATATTATTTGGTTCGCGTTTTAACAATATTTAACATGATCAATTTAAAATTAGTTCAAACCATATCTAATGTTAGTTCAAAGTTAGTAATTAATGAGTAATAATCAGTGGTTCTGAACATAAAGTGATGACACAATTGTGTGATTGTCTTAAGAGTCTATTCCAGAAGAATAATAGAGAGGTAATCAATAAGATAGAGATTTATATGAGTTATTTAAATGAATTGTCTGTTAATTCAAATTTCAAAGTATCCAAAAAACTCATTCGATCGTTTCGGTGATGATTTGATGCAACTTTTGCTGTCATATCATTCTTTTGGTGACCAAAAACATGCATTTGAGATGAGATGTCGACACCAATGCGTCTCAAAACAGTTTCAAAGATGTATTTATAAAACCATTCGTGAGATTCATATTACAGATCAACTGATGGATAGAATGAGAGCCAAAGAAATGAATCTATCGGACGAAGTGTTGTGTCAAAGAGTTATTCAATTTATTGCAAATAAATGTGCAAACATTCAAAGTATAGAGTATTATGATGTTGAGCGCAATCAATATACTAACCCAATATTGCAATCATTACATCAATTCTCACAATTGAAAAGTATTTTCTTTGAGTGCGAGTTCTTCGTCAATAATCCTCAAAGTTATGACAATTTGTCACCAATCGGTCAAATAGTTACTTATATCCCAATCATCACAACAGATCAGTTCCCATACGAACAGAATTTTCCCAAATTATCTTTACTTACTATAAAAGAATTGGATTTAATGTTTGCCACAGAAGACAATCACTTGTTGTCATTCAATCAATTAAAAGGAATTTGCTTTCCTTTCACTGAAGACTACAATACAGAAAGTTTTGTGCAATTCATCGCATACTATAGGACTCGTCTCCAAGAAGTTCATGTCTACATCTATGATATATCTCTGGTCTTAAAAGAAAAGTTCACTAAATTCTTAACACAATTATCAGAATTTGAAGAATTGCAAAAATTATATCTAATATTTGATAATGATTTAGATTCTGTTCTTCAATATTCACTATACGATAATCTGAAGAGAATTGGCATAAAGTGTACAAAACTTAAAAAGTTAACAATATTGGTTAAATCAAAAGACATGGCATTAAATATAGAGATTATGAATTCAATCCAATTTATGCCGCGTTTAAAACGTTTGCAACTAAATCTTGCGATTGAAGACAATGACAATACAATCGTTTGGACACAATTAGAGCCATTGAATCGTTGGCCACGACTCACACACTTATATCTTTCTTTTAATGAGTTTCCTGAAGAATTGTTGAGAGAGATTGTATTCACACAAACAAAACTGCAAATACTATTTGTCGAGAATTACATATGGTTTGACAATAAGTTTCTGTCGTGTGTCTCAAGACTGTCATCACTGCGAGAGGTATACATCATTTCTCACTACTGTTTTGTTAATAAATATGATTTATGGAAAATATGTAAACGATGTCCGAAATTGAGGAAAATTGTACGCAACGAAAGAAAGATAAAAACCGATTATTCAACTTTTGAATTCATTCCTGCATTTGTCTTAATGTGTGATAATATTTTGAAAATTATAAAATTTAAATAAATGTTATTTTAATAACTAATTTTAATACATGTAATAATTATCACTTTTGATTATTTAATTTTAATATATTTATCTCAATATTATAATAACTTATTAATTGAGTTGACATTAAGTTTATTTATTAAAATAGCCATTAAATAGTTGTCATAATTAGCAAGGATAATCCTATTGAATGTTGTTTTAGATAACAGATCTCTCACGTTTGTCATACTTTTAACATAATGTTTTATCACTTAACTGTATTTTAATAGGTTTCCTAAATAACAACCACATGATTACATATGATTACTATTGGGTCGTTTGACAATGTTCAGGCCTAACTGATTTCTAGTGTAGCTAAAATTATGATAATGGTATCATAATTGAAGTTAACATTCTTAGGCACTAGAAACCAAGTTTCATTAAGATTGGTTGATTAGGCTTTATACTAGAAATTTTTAAAATGTGTCAGTCGGATATATTTTTACAAATTTGTACAAAAATATTTGGTAAAAAATTATTACATTTTTCAAGTTAAAATATTTTTACAAAATACATGTTTAAAGTGAATATTTGGTTATTGAAATTCACAATTAGTTATCCGACAATAGTTTTAATAAGATTTCATGACATTAACCATTATGGAAATCAAATGCGAACCGACCGAACACAGTGCCGCCAATCGGGTTGACTACCGATCAAAATTTGGTCACAGCTGGGGTACCGGTCAATGTTGGCCATTGAATAGCATATCATTAGATTCAGTAAATATGGAAGATTTCAGAAGAGGAAGGGTTTTGTATTATCTGTATTATTGTTTAAGCATGATAAATTTTAGTCTAAAATTACACGTCAATAAATACCGAAATAGCCACTCTCCCATAGGAATGCATTATTTTGGCAGGTGTCATATAAAATATTCCTGTGCCATAACTATTGATGGGAATTTTATGAAACTTGGTTTCTGATCCCTAAGAATGTAAACTTAAATTATAATACCATTATCATAATTTTAGCTACACTAGAAATCTGTTAAGCCTGAACATATGTCAAATGACCTAATATATGAGTACTATATGATTACAATTGAAAGTTTGCCTAAATTCTGTGAATTTTAAATATGTATTTTACATTAATTGTCATTAATTTGTTAACAATTCATCATAAATGATATAGATTTTTTCGTCATATATGAATCATATTAAAACATAATGTTGTTATTTTGTGGATTTTTATATTGAATTATTATAGAACATTCAATTTTTTATTATTTATATTGCATAAAATAAATATTTTTATTAATTAATGATTATTTACTTAAACTGATAATGAAATTATGATTATTCAAATTTTCATGACTGAATTTGGATAAAACAAACATTCATTACAATGTATGCAAATATTCAATATAATAATTACCATAATTAAGTCACAGCATAATATAAAGTATAAATTTAGTTTTACACTTCATTTAATAATATAATTCACTTTAAACATAATAAAAATTAGTGTATTGTCTCTTAAATTAAGTTAAATATTTGGAAAATAGTATATTTACACGAAAAATGCTAAAAAGTTGTTTATATTAAATGTTTTCATTATAAGCCATAAAAAAGTGAAGTGGTTGAAGTGATTGCAAAATGTCCCAGGTTGTAATACTGGATACAAACAAGTTATTGCCACCAAATATTATAAATAAATCAGCGGCTAATTATTTGTATTTAATTGGTTTAACTCCCGATAAATACTCATTGAATTCAACAGGAAATCAAAGAAAATGGTTTAATAAACCCATATATCTATTCATAACATTTCTCATATTTATAACAAACCGAATAATTTGTTTGCTTTACGGGAAACACAATGAAATGATTTATATAGTTTTGGGAGATTTCGGGTATCTATTAAGAATTGCAACCATTAATAATGTATTTTTCATTTTAATATCACTTTTGGCTATAAATTCTCAATTGATTTATTACTATAACTATAAGAATGGTATAAAACCCACATTTCTCGGTGTGTTTCAAATGATGTCGGGTTTGGTTTCACCCAAATCTGTTGGTCTCACGAATCCCACGGAAATTAAGAAATTGATCAAATATTTTAGATTTTTAACTAGATTTGCCAAATTTAATAACAACTTTCCTATTATATTATGTACATTATTTGTAAACATAGTCTCGTATATAACGTATACAAACATTCAAAATACATTTGTTTTTTGTATTTTAAACGCAATGTTTTTTACAATTTGGGGCTATTATTATTGGCAATTAATTTTATATCAAATCATTTATTTTTACATTCTTTGTCTATATTTGAAACTCAAATTTCGGACGATTTACAAGAATTACATCGTTTACTGTAAACGACAGCAAAAATTGTCTCAAATCCGAAATATTCTGCAATCAATTCACAAAATAAATGAAGAATTAAATGAATATAACACTAGTTTTTGGTCAAAATATTTGCTCTGTTTTTGGCTAACGTTTGGTTCGGCGACTGTTCTCCTGCTTTACAATTCAGTGTTCACTGAAATGGCATTAATTGTGAAATTTATCTATAATTATGTTCTCGTATTGTTTTTACTCCTCTTTTTGTTTGTCATTTTCATGGCTTCGGCACTCAATTCAGAGGCAAACAAATCATATAAATTCATGAATCGCTTAATGATTTTGAATCTCAACTGTCGTTGCATTCGTATCAGAGACCAGATTCAGGTATATTTGATACAAGAACTCAATTGTCATTTAATTTACCGGTATTTTAGTTGTTGTCAATGATTGAAAGGACGGCTATGAAAGACGTGGGCTTTTCATGTTGGAAGTTATTTACTGTTAATTATTTCCGTTGTTATGAAGTAAGCAATTGTTAATGATTTTTAATTAGGAATTTCCAGTATTTATTGAATAAAATAACTTTATATAAATAAAAGTTAGCTTTAGTTTTAATTTGAAACATAGAGCTTAAAGTTCAGCTTTTGTAATAATTATAACTTGAATGTAATAATGATAACAATTTGTATTTATTATTTACAGATACTTTCACTCCTATCTCTACTATTTCTAAAAATAATTGATTTGAAGTTCATTAAAAAATATTAATTTAATACATGTATAAGTAGTACTCAAACGGTATGTTTTCAAGTATTGTAAGTATTTTATATGAAATTTTATATAAATCATTTAATTTAAAATTTAATGTTGTAATTTTTAATAATAAAATCAATGTTTTTATAAATATACATAAACCATATTTGCATTAAGTGTTTACAATAATAATTTATTAATGATATAAAGTCAAAATGGTGTCCAAACAGTTATTATACTTTGTTATAATTAATATAATCATTTGTACGGGAATTGAATGCATTGACCTTTTTAAAAAAGACGGTAATTAACAAAGACTAGTGTTTCAAATGTATTAATTATAATAATAAAACAGGAATAAAGATCGTGGCCGGAAAATGTTCAAAGAATGAGGTATACATGAAATGCGGATCAGATTGCGGCCACACTTGCGATGATATTATGCGAAATGGTATGCAATGAAAGAATTTAAAATTTTACCATAATTTTTAATTTAATACAATTAAATTATAACATAATATTGTTGTTTTGATATTAAATGTTATAAATCTAGAGATAAAATGTCCTGAAGTGTGTCTCACGGGTTGCTTTTGTAAGCCGGGCTACTTTAGGGACGGCCGACAGAATGGTCGGTGCGTTCGGTCGACACGTTGTAAGACCATCGCCATAAGCACCTGGGCTTTCGGTTTGATACTTAGGCCCAAATGTCCAGACCTGGAGGAATACAAGTGCGGCACCAATTGTGGCAACAATTGCGATGATATCGGCAATGATATGAATTGTGCCAACAGTT